GAAAGATCATTCAAAGAAAGCAGTAAAGTGCGAAGACTGGTAAAGCGAAGAGAAGAAAAAAAAATACACAAGAAAGCTGAGAAAGTGAACTTCTTTGAAATAAAAATGTTGAATTACAAAAATAGTCGGCAGCCGCCCACAAGCGGAAAGTAACAGCTGCCGAAATACGTACAGGCAAAATAAAAAATATAATAAGCTGTTGTACGATAAGGCAAGCTGAAGCAAAAAAAAAACAAAAGGCAAAAATTCAGAAAGCGGCAAGTCTAAAGTTGAGCGCATGATGAACCGCAAGATTCTGAAGACGACTGCCCGAGTTCCTATGCTTCAGCCTGAGGATCAGACTGATCAGCTTCATTGGGCCCAATGGTGGTCTCAGCTCCAGCAGCAGAAGAAGCAGGCTTTGCACTTTGCCGAGCCTCCCTTTCCCTCTGCTCAGCCTCCAACTCCATCCTCTCAGCTTCTTCCTCGGCTTCCTCAGCCTTAAGGATTTCAGCTTCGATTGGAGTGGCATACTTCATGTGAGGGTCTTCGGGATCTTGGACCCATTCAGCACATTTGGACCAGTCCAGCTTCGGCTCAGCATGAAGGCAGACCCTTCGGCACACTCTGAACCCGTTTCTAAAACCCATTTCATACTCTTCTTGGGTATAGATACGGACTTTGAGTAGAGCCTCAGCATCGGCCAACTTCTTCTTCGTCTCCTCCAAGTCTTCCTCGGATCTCTTCAGCTCATCGACGAGCTTGGAGGAGGAGCCTTTCAGCTCGGTAAAACTCTTGCTGAACCTGGGAAGCCTCGGCCTGAACTTGGACCATTTCTTCCTTCTTGGCAGTGAGCTGATCCTCAGCCTCTTGTAGCTTAGCTCTTTGAGCTTCAGCAGCAGCAGCAGCCCTTGAGAGTTGGACATCCCTAGCTTGGAGCATCTCTTCAGCAGCCATTCTGCTGGCTTCAAGAGATTCTAGCTGATGCTGCACTTCAGCCAGTGCAGCAGCTCCTTCTTGGATTCGGCTCTCGATAGCAGCCTTGAACTTGGAGATGTCCACCCCCAGGTGCTCTTGGAGGAATTTTTTCCCCTTCCATCAGTGAGGGAAAAACTTCCTTCTCCATAGCGTCGCAGAAGGTCTGGAGGGCTTCAGCAGCCTTTTTCTCGTACTCCTCAGCCTTCTGCTGCTTCTCTTCAGCTGCTGCCTGCTTCAGCTTAGCAAGCTTTAGCTCTTCCTCGGCTACCCTTTGATCGTGCTCGGCAGCGTCCACCCTATCTTGTAGGGAATCTATCAGCTCTACAGTGAGAGTCTGATTGTGCACGAACTGAAAACAGGGGCACAAGTTAAAAAAGTAAAAAATAATAGCTGAAAGGTTGAGTTCAGAAAGAAATCAAGGCAAGGAGAATTACCTGCATCATCAGCAGTTGGTTGGACCTGGCAGGGTCAGGAACTGATCTGCTGGATTCGCCCATCCCAGCAGTGGCCTTCAGCGACCAAATCCTTGCCCTATCTACTTCGGACAGGCCAGCAAAATCGCCGAAGTAGGCTGCAGCACCTTCTCGGTTCTGACCCCATATGAGGTCCCAGATGTGGTCTGGGACTGGAATTCGGGGGGCCGAGAAACCCATTTCTCCAGACTGCAGCGTCTGGAAGGAAGGGAAGGATGACGATGGAGCCTCTTTAGCTTTGGGTGGCTCAACGTCCTCCTCCTTCTCAGAAGAGTCAATTATTGTGACCTCTTCTTCTTCAGGTGTGAGGACGAAGGCCCCAACCTCTCTGGCAATGTCCGCCGTGAAACCCTCAGCACTGGGCATCACGGCGTCTCCATCCTTGTCCTCGGCGGCACTCTCTCGAGCTTCTTCCAGAACCTCTCCCTTAGGTTTGGGAGTTCTCTGATCCACCTCCATCTCGGGGGGTGGCGGAGAGGCCCTTGGGGGTGATTGAGGCGGTGGCCGGGGAACCCTCGGCGATCCATTGCCTTCCTCGGGTTCCCTTATTTCAACGCCGATGGTCATCGGCCTCCGCTGAAAGTCATGCGGGCCGATGATGGCCATTCTTCGGCGCCTCTTCTGAAGCGGCTGCTCGTCCATACCCGAGTCTGAAGACTCTTCTTGTACTTGGTCTTCGGGACGAACAGGGGCTTTCCCTTCCCTGTGTCTGCTGCTCTCTTCAGACTGTAAAGGGCAGGCAGGGGGAAGAATGTGAAAAAAAAAAAAAAAAGAAAGACAAAGTTAAGTCTAAAGGCTCACCGAGGTCTTCAGCAAAGCCTCGTCTTCTTCAGCTGCCCTAGCCGCAGCTTCTTCAGCAACTCTGGAGGACCCTTCTCCACCTTCACAAGCTTCAATAACCCGTGCAACCTCTTCGGCTGTACGGGCAGCTTCAGCTTCTTCTTCCAGCAGCTGAAACAAGGGATCTCTCTTCTTCCACCAAGGCTTCTGCCTCTGATACAGAGCAACAGCCTCAATTTGGAAGTGGGAAGAGTCTAGGTGAACCTCTCGGCGCCTTGGTTCAGTGATAGGGGGAGCCCGATCAGTTACGACTCGTTCTCGGTTGACGCCAAGGCGAGCGTAATCAATGCCGACGTTGGTCTCGTCCCGTTCTGAAAAAGAAAAGGGGAGAAGTCAATTCAGTTAGTTCGGCACATCACAAGAAAGCAAAATGAAAGAAGAAAAGAGATAATTAAAAGGCCTCGGCCCCAGCCGAAGAAGATTACCATCCCTAAACTTTCGGCTGAGGCCGACAGCTGCCAGCATATTCTCTTGGAAAACATAGTGCGTATCGGGGAGCCAAGTCTCCGGATATGCTGCATTCGGCCGCTGCCTCCCCGGTTCGGCAGCTTGCCGAAGATGTTCTGCTGATTAAGGTTCGGGTCTGGCCCGCTATCTTCGGGAGGACCTAAACTTCCCATATCAGGATCCGGCTCGGCAAGATACCGGGGAGCGCTGAAAACGTAAGGGTGGCTCGGCTCCGTGGGTGCCCTAACCCAAATCCATTGACCTCTCCAGTCCTTGTCTGAAGAGTCGTTCGGCCACATGGTTAGGAACGGGGGCCGAGACTCAATCCGATACCACCCAGAGCCATGGCATCCGTGCCCACTTTGAATGTTTGGCACTAGCCGATGGAGCCTTTTGAAGCAATGCAGGTTCGGCACGTACCTGAAGAATTTGCAGACCCATAAGTACGTCATTACCCTTCGGATGCTGGTGGGGGTCAGCTGGCACAGGGAAATGTTGTAATGGATCAGCAAGTCTCGGACGAATACGTCCAAAGGGAACCTCAGCCCGTACTGGAGTTGTCTTGTGTACACCCCCACATACCCCGGGGGTGGACGGTGGATTCTATCGGAGGCCGTGGGCATTCGGCACCAATACCCATCGGCTTCAAGGATGCCGTAATGCAACTCAATTTGCTCGGCAAACCGGTACTGATCAGCATTCTCCACCCACCATGAGTAGGGGCGGTTCTTTATCATGGCCGAAGCTACTTCGGCATCCTCCCACTCTGAAAACCCTTGGAGGATATCCCAAAGGACAGCGGGAACTTCATCATCCCGTCCTGAAGCGCTCACCCCCTCAGCCCTCTGAGGAGGAGCCGAAGAAATGGGAGTCGCCCTAACCCCTTCAGCAGGGTCAGACTCTGTCCTTCGTCCATTCCAGGTCCCAATCCTGTCCCTGGGATCGGGGATTAGCCTTGCTCTTCTTGGAGCACGGGCTCCACCTCTAACTCCCCTCACCATTGACGAATTTCGAAGGAAAAAGTCGAAAAAGGGGAAAGAGTGCAAAGTCGAAGAAAAATGAAATAAAATCAAAGGAATTTACCTTGATCTGAAGCAAAAGTCGCCGATTTACGAATTGGTAGTGACAAGTCTCAGCTTCTAAGCTTAATGCTCGGGGAATTTGCGAAGTTTTGATGCGGGCTCTTGAGCGTTCTTGAGAATTCTGGGTTTGTGTTGATGAATGAGTGGGGAGAGAAGACGCGCCTCTATTTATATCTCCAGAAATGGGAATTCAAGGAGTCTGCGTTTCAATTTCTCTCAAGCACCCCACTAAGTAACCGTTAAACACACGACCTTGCAGTTAAATCGCCCACTACCCGTCCAACTTCCGCAATTATCCACATTAACTGTTGTTATCTCATTAATCATGGGTTAATTATGGTTTAAATTCACATTTTTGGATTAACAAATCATTCACTTCCCTCCTTTTTCTGATTAAATCAAACCCGACCCGTCATCCTTCCAAATCGGGTCTGGGGGGCAAGTTGTTTGGGTCCAATTTAGTCCAATTGGGCCTGGTCACTGAATGATCCAATTAAAAGCCCAAGGTTAAGGTTCAACTCTCCAAATGTGCTAAAGTCAAAAATCAACATCCTCAAAGCCATGTCAAGGACAGTCAACGGCCCAATCAGCTTGGCCCAGCCCAACTGACTTCCGGGCCCAATCCGCCTCCTTCATTAGCCAAGGTATAAAAGCCAACAATTTGGTCAATTCTTGGTAAGACAATAAAGCCTCAAGCAACTAAACTCTTGCACAGCTTTCTCTCTCTAATATACTGACTTAAGCATCGGAGGGGCCTTCCTCGGCGTCCCCCCCGAGGCTAGTTTACGTGTATTTGTTGTGCAGGAAACCCTCGGCTCCTGCGTCGTTCGGACCGAGACCAAGTTCCCTCAAGATAAAAGGATCTTCCGAGATTCGATTGTTTTCATCCGAAACAAGGGTGGTCCAAACGAGGGTCATACAAACAGTAGTTGGCTCGACATAATTTTTGGACGACATTCTCTTCTTTGCTTCCTAATTATCGGCTTTATCGCTTTGTCGGTTCTTGCTACCTTTCTTGGTACCATGGCATTGCTCACCGTAAACCGTGACTTAGACTCCGTGAATCTTCTATCGTCCACATTCTCGATAACATACTACCATAAGAGTAACACGATCCTCCGCAACATTACGGAAGCTGTTCCCGAAAACGCTACAAGTTGTTCAGACATCCTTGCCAAGCCGTTCGTTGTCTTTCCGGGTGCCAGAGTTAAGCCCTTCAAGAAAGAATTTCAAGAATCAGTATTTGATAATTCTACTGAATCCACCATCCTGACTAAACCGTTTGTGGTCTTCCCAGGGGCCAGAATCAGAGCATTTAAGGCAGAACCACAAATCAGCAGCAATACATCCTATGATTAATCTTCAAAGTGTGATCAATGTTCAAGAACCTCACTGTCGATTAGTTAGCAATTTTCGATTAGTTAGCAATTTAATTTTTTTTTTTTTTTTTTTTTTTTTTTTTCATTTTAGGATAATCGGTATGTACATTCCATCTGTATTACTTGATGTACTGTTTAGTTAAGTAAGAAACGATTATTGAATTCTATGTCTTTATAATAGAGAGAATATATAGGGGATTGTAATATTTTCAGGGCTAAATAAAATAACTACACGATTAGTTTTGATTCTAGTCAGTTTAATTACTTGTTTTTTACTTTATCACTCTGTAGTTTACCAGCATCTCTAGTTTGTATCAGCACCTTTAATTTGTTAAGGAATGTCTCCAATTATAGGGTCGAGAATTGTCTTGAGCTCATTCAACTTTTCGTTATATTCAGAAACTCGAGCGAGATTGAAATTCCAGTCGAGCCACTGGATTGTCATCTCAATTGCATCCTTCATCTTGTTAGCATCCTCCTCTCGAAACTTGTTCCAGCAAACATCCACCATGTCCCACTTACTTTCAGCATAATTCTTCAATGCAAGCTTGGCTGCAACAGCTTTTTTGTGCTCCTCGTCCTCTGCCTTGTACTTGTTGGCCTCCTCTACCATTTGATCAATCTCTTCTTTAGATAACCTACCGCTGTGATTTGTAATACTGATTTTTTTTTTGTTGTCAGTGCCTATATGTTGCGCTGACACGGTAAGGATACCATCATTGTCGATTTCAAAGCAAACATCAATTTTTTCTTTACCTTTCGGTGCTGGAGGGATATCGTACAGAGTAAATGTACCTAGCAGGTTGTTCTCTAAGGCGATGGGGCTCTCACCTTCGTATACATCACATATCACCTTTGTCTGATTGTGCTTTGCAGTACGCATTATTTTTGACCTTGTTGCTGGAATGGTAGAATTTCTTGGGATGAAAATGCTCATCCAACCACCACTTTCATTTCTAACTCCAAGGGACAAAGGAATGACATCTACTAGTGTAAAATCTTTATTGTCACGTACACCGCTCAAGATTGCAGCTTCAATTGTAGCACCATATGCAACAGCCTCATCCGGGTTAATGCTTTGGCAGAGCTCCTTCCCATTAAAGAAATCTTTTAACATTTGTTGAACTTTTGGAATCCTAGTTGACCCACCAACTAGAACAACATCATCAACATTAGCCTTTTTCATTTTGGCATCTTCCAAACATTCCTTAACAGGATTCACACAATTTTTAAACAAATCCAAGTTCAACTTTTCGAACTTGGCACGGGAGATGGTTGAATACAAATCAATACCCTCATACAAACAATCTACATCAACACTAGTTTCGGTAGCTGATGACAGCATCCTTTTAGCTCTCTCACAAGCAGATCGCAACCTCCCAATAGCCCTGCGGTCTTTACTGATGTCCTTGTTATGTTTCCTCTTAAACTCAGCCACAAAGTAATCAACCATTCTACTGTCAAAATCCTGACCACCTAGATGGGTGTCTCCGTTAACTGCTTTCACTTCACAAGCCTGTTTACCAATTCTAACCAAAGATACATCAAATGTCCCACCACCAAGATCAAAAACTAACACGTTCTTAGCCGTCTCTTTCCTATCATTGCCGATTTTATCAAGACCATAGGCAATGGCAGCAGCCGTTGGTTCATTGATAATCCGCATGACATTGAGTCCAGCAATGGTACCGGCATCTTTTGTTGCCTGACGTTGGGAATCATTGAAATAAGCAGGGACAGTGACAACAACATTTTTCACTTCCGAGGCAAGGTAGGTCTCTGCAGTCTGTTTCATCTTCATTAAGATCATTGAAGAGATCTCCTCTGCAGCAAACTGCTTTTCTTTGCCTTTATAAGTGACTACGATAACAGGCTTGCTGTCTTCAGCCACGGAAATAACCTTAAAAGGCCAGAGTTTTATGTCATTCTGCACTACTTCATCAGTGAATCTTCTGCCAATAAGCCTCTTTGCATCTGTAGTGTATTTCAGTGAATAAATACGTGAAATTGACAAACTTAAATTGCAAAACTATGAAAAATTGTGAGAGCTTTTGATGCAATATCTTTGAAACAGAGAAAGTATAAACTTTTTAAAAATACATTAGGTAATGTGCTTTAGAAGACAAATACGACTTATAGAGTATTTCTCACCCACTACATATCTTTTCATTACCTCAATATTGCTCATTCAGATTTTAACATTGTGTATCTATGATCTATGTTCTCAAAAAACAAAAAAAAAACAAATCAGCAAACATATATTTATAATTTTAAATATACAATTGTCCATCAAAAAATCCTATAAGTTTCCATTAAAGTTTGGTTTGTTAATTATGTTAGGAAAATTTGTTCAAAAAGACCACATAAGTGGTCTCTTTTGTTTAGAAGGACCTAATAAGAAAAAGGTTGTTTAAAAGGACCATATAAGACGATTTGGGTTGGCTAAAAAGAACAAATCCAATTTTTAGGGAAGTCAACGCCAGATTAATCAATTTATTCTATAATGCATGCTATCGACATATATTTGCACACGTTAGAAAATCAATTTTGTAAAATATAATTATGGATTATTTTATAAGAAACTGGGCAAAGTTATATTGTAACATGATATATACGAATATTGAAGGATAGAGGTAGAAGACGAACCAAAAATAGTATTAATTGGATTAGCAGTAGCCTGATTTTTAGCAGCCTCGCCAACAAGACGTTGAGTTTGATTGAAAGCAACACAAGACGGTGTCGTTCTGTTTCCTTGATCATTGATTATGATTTCAACACGGCCGTGCTGCCATACTCCAACACAAGAGTATGTTGTCCCGAGATCGATTCCTATCGCTGGCAATTTATTTTTCCTTTTATCTTCCATTTTTTTTTATAATTTTTTTTTTTGGTGATATTGCTCTTTAGAAAGAGTATAAATTTTTCAGTTGCGTGTGTATAAATTTTGGATCTACAATAATATGATAGAAAGGATGGAGATTTGAAGGAATTAACGTCGGATGATGGAAATAAGGAAAGAAAAAACGGTTAGGGTATTTGTTTGAAGCAGTTTATTATAAAGTTGTTTGATTTGCAAAATAAATTTGGAGTGTACACTACTTATAGGGAGGTCCAGACTCCAGAGGTGTAGACTACTTAGGATTTTTTATTTTAATTTTATCTTTTTAGGAAGTGTACACTACTTAGGATTTTTTATTTTAGTTTGTCTTTTAAGGAAGGAAGTGTACACTACTTAGGATTGGGTTTTTTTACCTAAATTTTACTTTCCTTATAGCAACTCCAACGGATGAATTTGGGGACCTGCTTGCAATTTATGAAAAATTCTAAGCTACTTACTATCCATTGGATAATAATATATGGAGTTGTTTCGGAAGGCAATCCCTTAATGGATAATATGCTTGTTTATTAATTTTATTATACAGTGTTTAACTTTTGATATTGTTATAATTGTCGTTGTTACTATAAATTTTTTTTTTATTAATTATATGGTTTAGAACTGGCAAACAGGTCATTCAGGTCGGGGTCGGGTCGAGTCAATTCAGGTCGGGTCAAGTTCGGGTCAGCAAATGTTCGGGTCGAGTCGGGTTGATTCGGGTTTCGGGTCAAAATCGGGTCAGCACTTCAGGTCAAGTTATAGTCGGATCAAGTTCGAGTCGTGTTAATTCGAGTCGGGTCTGTTCGGGTCGGCTCAATTTTTAAGATCAATTTTCGCGTCAATTTCGGGTCGGGTCTGTTCGGGTCGGGTCAATTTTTAAGATTAATTTTCGGGTCAATTTTGGGTCGGGTCAATTTTGGATCGAGTCAATTCGGGTCGGATCTATTCGGGTCAAGTTTGTGTCGGGTCACCAAAATAAATTCACTTAAAAAAAATAATTTGAAAAAAAAAGTAAAATCATTAAAAAAAATCATGAGTATCTATTACGTAGGAAATAAAAAAGCCCTAAACTAAGTAATTCACTATTTCACCCTATTCACTTAGGTTTCGGGTCAATTCGGGTTGGGTCACTACAAGTCGGGTCGATTCGGGTCAATCAATTTTGGCTAACGGGTCATGTCACTTCGGGTTTCGGGTCATTTCGGGTCGGTTCAAGTTCAGGTTTTGGGTCGATTTCGGGTCAAGTCATTTGAGTCGGGTCACTTCGGGTCATCGGGTCAACTCTATTTCGTGTCAGGTTCGAGTCGCGTCGGGTTAGTTCAGGTTCGGGTCAACTTTCGGGTTACGGGTCGGGTCATTTTGATCGGGTCAATCAGGTCGGCTCAGGATTGCCAGGTCACTTTAGTGTTTAACTTATGTTGTTATTTTATTACATTATATTGAATATGTATATTATTGTCTTATTATATTTATTTGTTTGATTTTTTTTTAATCAATCAATATATTTTCTAGCTAATGTGTATCACATGGTCGCAACTTAAAATTATATCCTCCTTATTTGAAATTATATCCTCCTAGAGAAAGTAACAGTCCATTTAAGAATTTTAAACGTATAGAGTTGGAGTCGTTACAGTCTAGCCCCTTCCCTCATATGAGAGTGACATACATAAAAATTGACCATAAAAAGTCAATGAAAATAAAGAATGTTTTGTTAGTAATTTCACTTTCTAAAAAATAATTTTTTAAAATAAAATATTAATTCAATATAAAAATGTTAAGAAATTAGCTAACAATTATTGCACAAATTAGCTAGAAAATGGAGTAGCTTAAAATCCTATGTGGCAATGGCAAGCTAATTTGGTAAATAGCTTTGCCATTGGAGATGCTCTTATGTCAATTAATTGTCGGTTATAAGTGTTTAATTTGGAAAAACGAACGTTATATTAGTAAGATCATTGTTGTTAAGTGCTATATAATTTAATTTTAATTCTTCATAAGCAACTTTTATGTGACAATAGTGAAAAATAAAATTTATATGTGGTATGAATGCATGATGATGACGATGATGATGATATAAGTGTAGATAAAGATATTTAGTCTTTTATTTAGCTTTTCTACTTTCGGTGTATAGACTATAGACTACTCTCCTTAAAAATGCATGTATTAATTTAACCTAAACTTAGGATAACACACATTAAGCACTTTGGAAATTAGTCAGAATTTATACTTTAGTCCAAAATTACATACTCCGTATTAAGTTGTTAGTTTTGTAGGGAAATCAGTTTAGTCGGTTATCAAGATCAAGAAACTTAAAATGGGGTTTCTTAATTTTTTATTTTTTTAATTTTTTTTTTTAAATTTTTATAAAATATACATCATTTCTTTAATTTGCCTAACAAAAAAAAAATCTTTATTCATTAATATTTACACTTTTAATTAGGTTTCTACTTTTGGTACATAATAGAATACCCTCGTTAAAAATGCGTTATAAATTAGCAAAAGCTAACGAGCGCCCTCAGGGCTTTAAATAAGAGAGCTAAATGTGAAAATATAATGGTATGAATAACATTAATTACATCGATCGATGTGTGATTTGTCATGCATTCCGAATTTAATACTATTTTAAGTAATATATTTATCCCTTATCAAATGTCCCGGGGTGCTTGTTAGCAAGGTCCTAATAAATTTAAGTGAAACTAGAATAACACATTAATACTTAAGTCCAAAATTACATATAATTAAGTGATAAAACGAATAATTTTAAAAAGATATTTATTCATTAATGTGAAAATCAAGAAATGGTATTTTTGGTTTCTTGTTTACCAATGTCATCCCAATTTATATATATATATATATATAGGATTAGGATCATGTAAAAACAAGTCTTAGGGTAAAAACTGAAAACAATTAATCTTAGCCTTAGATTATAATCTAGCGGATGACATCTAATGTATATAACCTGTTTAGGGTGAAAATACCCTAAGACACGTGGCCCAATACAGGCTTGACACGTGTCAATCTTTCAACGGTCTGCAAAGGCCCAATCCCTTTGCGACACGTGTCCCTTGTACCCTAATTGAGGTACAGTTCTCCCTTACTATAAATAGTAAGGGTAGACCTCATTTATGGGGAACACATTAATTGCAACCACACAAAAAAACCAAACAAAGCCCAAACCTACTGAAACGCTCTCGAACCGAGAAGCTTTTATTGTTCTTATTCCACTTCGAAAAGATACTAACTTAATCTTCGGAGGCGGAACTCCCACCCCCATCCGGAGTCTTCGTTACTTGTGCAGGTACAGGCGTAAGAAGGAAGTCTGCTAGGAAATTGTAACTCTCCCGAAGGACATAAAAGACCCCCAAACATAACCTAATTTTCTTTCTCCTCCCGCGAAAACACCTTCTCTCTCCTCTGTTATTTTCTTCCTCCTCTTCCTTCTCTCTTCACTTTCTCTCTCCTAATTTCTCGACATTTTTTCCCAATTTTCTCGCTACTTTTTCAAACACCGCTTCAATTATTTTGATTTTTAGCAATTTCTCAGCTCTACGATCTATTATCAGGTGAGTTCTTTGTGGTAATTTCGCTATTTTTGCACGATTTGAGGTTATTAGGTTTCTGAAATTTTGTTTGCTGGAATTTCATGAGTATTTTTTTGTAGATTCAACCGGAAATTTAATGTCTATTGTATTTTTCGTGTATGCTTTTTGTTTAAATTTGTAATTTTGCAAGATTTTTATTTATTTTTTCGATTTGATTTGATTTTTTGATTTTCAACTTAAGTTCGTTTTAGTAGGAGTATTTTTGCTCGAATTTCTACTTTTGTTGTTGTTCTTCACCTTCTTAGTAACACGATTTTTGTGTTTCTGATTTTAGTAAATTAAGTTTGGGTAATTTTAGTAACATGCATGTTTGATTATGACGAGATTTTGCGTGTTTCGTTCATCAATTTTGTTCGATTTCCAATGCGATTTTGCGACTTTTGCTCATCAATTTTTTTCGACTTTTTTTCATCAATTTTGTTCGATATTGTTTGATTTTGCGATTTCCTGTTCGACTTTGTTCAATTTTGTTCGATTTCCTGGTTGATTTTGTTCAATTTTGTTCAATTTTATTCACTCATTTTTTGCTTTCAACTTTTTTGATTTGTGGGTTTTTGCAGGTGAAATGTGGGAATTATGGAGAGGTGACAGAGAAGGAGAGTTATGTGATGTTGGGAGAAGTTGTTCCTATCCCTAAGAGTCGTGACCAGGCTAATCTTGTTCAGAAGGTTTATCTCTATTACTCTCTGATAATCTGTTGTTCTATTCTGATTTGATTGTGCTCGCTCTATTTGAGATTTAGTTGTCGCATTGATAGTGGAATTTGAATGAGTAATGTTACAATTATATTTGAATGGAGGTAGTATTTTGGCACTATTGATTGGTTTTGTCAGTGTTAATTTCTTTTTCTGGACTAATTTCTTGCCATTTAGTTTCATGAGGGTTTTAGCATTATATTGACTATTTCTTGGTTATTGTAGTGATTGTAGTTATGTGTTGATCAATGAATCATATGCTGCATTTATCTTACTGTAAATGTTACATGGTTATTGTAGTGATTGTAGTTATGTGTTGATCAATGAATCATATGATGTATTTATCTTACTGAATGTTACAAAAATGTGTGTTATCTGTAAGATGATCAGTGTTTATGAAGTCTATTTTTAGCGTATCTTATAGTGAAGGAAAGTGTTTTAAAGTTTTTAAGAACTTGTGGGTTCTAGGAGCTTTGAACTTTCATCTTTTATGTTTAGTGATGATCTTTCGTCAATTTGCTAGAAGCGAGTTGAATACCCCTTAAGCTTCTTCATCCATTACAGGAGTATTGAACATGTATTAAGGATTATGAACACCAGGGTTGCAAACTGGAAATTTCTCCTCGTTGTTTTGATACCTGTCTGATTTATTGAACTGTTCAACATGATATAGCGTTTAAGTTTGGTATGAAATTTCTGCAATTCTGTTATCTTAGGATTATTTGCTTAGGAATTAGGACTTGTTTAATATGTTTCTTCCGGATGTCAATTGATGGCCTTGTATTGGCACTTGGGGAATGGTTTATGATAGTGTATTAATGTTGTACTAGTACTTCTGCTCTGGCTCTTAGAATTCTTTTTTTATCTATTGTTCAGTCATTTGATGTACTAATTCCATCTTTTTCAATAATAGTGTGCCCGTTCAAGTGATATATGGCTTACGTTGTTGCTATATCTGTATTGACTAAGCCTTGAATAATGTCCTGCAGCTTATAGAATGTGTTTGATGCTTTGATATGTATGAATCACGTGTTGCATTTCTGCATTTTTCTGGTTTACACTTAATTGACATTTGATGCCTGAATTATATTACAATGTATAAATTTTCTGTGAGCTGTTAACTTTGTTCCATTCCAGCTATTAAAATTCTGTTGCTTTTTGTGTGTTATTGCCTTCTAAATTTTGGATTTTCTTACATTGGTAATGGTGATAGTTACATCGTGTTTTTGGCTTGTTGCTAATCAATCACCCTTTCATTATTTCAGTGCAAGTTCTGTGGCAGGGAGGGTACTATT